CCTCTGGCGGTTGCCTCCCTCATCTTAGACTCTTAAGAGTGTAAGTAAACTCCATCATCGATCACGTATTGAGAAGTTAAAGTAAGAAATCCGTGCACGTGGATACATGAATAGCGTGATGTAGTTACTTCTTCGCAACTCATGGATACGCATACACACACTGAGTCTTCTTTCTTGTAAAAGGGCCCAAATTCATACAGCCTGTCTTCGTAGGTCATTCTTGATCATTCTTGTGGCTAATTGTTGGATCCCCTCGAGGCACACGGCACAGTTTTTCAAGAACAGTGTTCTATCTGCTGTCGCAAGATGACTATACAGAGGTACAAACACCTGGTTTATTGCAAATAATAGTCTAATAATAGTCTGCGTTAATTCCGCATACTGGTTGGACCATTTTTAGACTTCAGCAATGTGATTGCCAAATCGTTAGCATCCTGGGGTGCTGCTAGTGAAACACTGTCTTACGTCTCCCCCTCCGTTGGTCGTTCATCTTCCATCGTTAAGACGACTTCCCATATTGGGTAGTAATTCTCATGCACTTGTCCATGCTTAGTTCTACTAGTTCGATTCTACAACCTTGACATCCGCAAGTATGAAGCCAAACGAAGCAAAGAATTCTGGTAGATCATCTCCATAAATCAAGGACCAACCGCTGTGGTATCCCAATGAAGGCCGTTTGTAATTCAGATTCTGCTTTTCCTTTCGGAGATAAAAAGTCCTCTTCAGAGAGCCCACCAAACTTATAGATCCAGCCACTTATCCTCAGAGCTTCTGTCTTAGCCAACAGTAAGCGGTAATAGACTGAGGGCTTGAATTAAATCCAGATGGCAAACGTCTACCTTTTCTTTATCCACTCTTACTGCGACATTATCTCGGAAGTGCCGCAAATTGATGGGGGTAAGATTTAACTCCCATGAATCCATGTTGAGCTGCGTTTGTTAATATACAATAAGCTTTTGGCCTGATTGGGTCCTACTGATTCTCTCCAATGATTTGCATAAGCCGCTTTTGAGGCTTACTGGATGGCAATTTTCCGGTTTATGCTTGGGCCATCGGTGGGTTAGACTACCCCGTTATTGCGTGTTCTACAGTTTGAAAGTTTCGCTATGATTGGCTGAATACCATGTAGGCAGGTAAATCTGCAATCACTTGACTCACTGATTACCTTGTGTTCCTGCTCCATTTTCGGGAATCCCTAGTCCCAAAGTGTAAGTACCAAACCACCCTACCGCTTTTGTGTCCACCTTGAGCACGCTTCTAAAGTACTCTTCAAGATGCTCTGCCCTGTCCGTCTGATAAGTTACTATAGCTGCATCACCTGGTAATAGGGTGCCACCTTTTGCCGGAGTGCCCCTTTAGACTACTCATAACCTAATTTCCTCTTCGGTTCACTTCTTTGGCACACCGTTTGAGCTCCCTAACTTTTCTCTCGCTCTTCCTTTTGACTGAATAAACAACGGCACACTTAAGTTTCTTGAAAAGAGGAAGCGGTCACTCGAAGGGATAGCATGTAATAGGCCGCTGCTGTGGTTGAAACACGTCTTCAGCCGATGAGTTTATCTCCTTAGCCCCATTGATTGATATGGAATATCGTGTCTTTTAAAGTTATTCACGGGTCCGATATTCAAGCTCATTTGTTCCGGGCCATTGTCTGATTTCTGGATGCTTTTTAGCGAAGAGTAACACTGGAGGACTTTACTTTTTTGCATGGGGCACATAAGAGTGAATGCAGCACTACTCCTGTCGGAGGCTACAGTATAATGTAAAAACATGTTTATAACTTAAATGTGATGATGTTCGTCACATTATTGTCAGTAAAAAAACTTTCCGTTTAAAAATCTTCGAAATCTGCATTGCGTAACAGGCACAAACCTTTCGCCTTCTGTTTATTCTTGCTTGAAAACAAAGAAACCTGCTGTTCAGTAATGTAAACGGATAACCTAACCCACGAAACTTGGAGTGGCGAGCCGCGTAAGGTCGCGTTAGTTCAGGCGTGGTTTTGAATCGAACAACCTCAAAGTTGCCTGCTACCAAAGTTGGATGGCGATAGCGGAGCTTGAACCTCGGACTTAGCCTCCTAGGCAGTTAAGGACATTTCTGAGGTTAGGCCTAAAACGTTGTCTAATTTCGTTTCGGAGGGTTCATTAATTTTTAGCTCCAATGATCTTTTGTGTCCGATTGTTTCACATAAAATTGACTCAATGGCCGAAAAAATTCAGGCCTTCATTCGAATACTTTTGCTTCTTCCTTTGAGGCTGTCCGTAATTGAACGGCAGAACAGGGAAATATGACCACTTGTAACCTGTTCAAAAGAAACGCTATCCTCAAATATGACCGACTTTAAACCCCCATCAACACAGGTTACTTAGATCATAGGGCTAAGAAATGCGTGCTGGTGGATACACTCTTGGTGTTCACTTCTCGAAAATACTCTAGGGAGTATATGTACATATATTTCACATACGTCTGAGTCCAGACATTGTGCCAAACAAATCACGGCACAGTGATCTTTGTGAAAAGGAGAAGTTCCATTATTTACTCGTGGGTCTAACGAGAAAATTTGAGCTACGGTTTTGCTTCCGCCATGTATTCTGTTTTTAAAGAGTCACGATCTTTTGAGAAGCCTTGGTTAATGATTTGGTCATGAGTTTAGAGCAGTAGATCAAAGCTTAGGGAAAATAAGAGGAAACAGTATACTATCATACGAAAAGCCAGTTTGTTGTCTTTCTGCCGATAAACTCCGAATCCTGTAATCTTGCCTTGAGAAGCTGCGAATAGTATACACGGAATTAAGTTTGTCTTCGGTTTCCAAAGGCAGTGTTAGTTCTCTTGTAATGTCCAACTGGGGTATCTATATTTTTTCATTTTTTTACTTTATTTTTATTGAATAAACAAAGATACAATTTTCCGGAGGCGGCCAATCAAAGGGCTCCTATTTAACACGGGGAAATTCAGACGGCGGTGGTGGGATTCAAACGCCCCCGGGGTGATAATTTGGTGACTACCACCGGGCCACCATCGCCCGCTATCATACCGGTACTTCTATGTAGCGTTGTCCAAATTCACCCTAAGGGTGTTGTCGTTTCAATTTTCCACTTGATTTTGAGCTGTCGCGTTCCAGAGATGTATCGCTCTCATTGACGAGAATAAATCAGCGAGAGACCATTCGATTGTATTTCCGAGAGTTAGTGCGTGTCTCTTGGTGCGGTCATTGTTCCTTGTTGGCGATTTGGACCGCAGTTTCGAACCAATCTGCCCATGTAGTGCCCGTGGTTAGATGCGATCACCTATGATGCATCTGAAAGCCGCGGAAAACACCCCCGTACCCGTTTAGTCTGTCTTCATAGTCACGTAGTCCAACGATGAAGCCTGGTAACCATCGAATTTCTCTATAATTTGTCCACCTCAGACACCGTACATGTTTAGACAGCAGGACCAACCCCATTCCGCTGGAGGATGTACGTGGGAGGCAAACAACAACCTAAAGGCATTCAAGGTTGGTGACCTAAATGTCCCGCGATATGCTTCATGCGGATGCGTGTGTCTTGTCTCAGCCTTCCGAGGACGGAGCCTTGCGAATAGATACCATTCTGACTGGGTTGGTAGAACTCATCACAAAGTCATTTATTTTAAAGAGTCTTCTGTCCAGCAAAAAATAGACCCCACGATTCCCAGGGTCCTGAGTTTTGACACCTCCGTCATGGGGTACCTTATCGAACGCCTCACTGAAAACTGATAAGGATGACAACCGTGAGATACCCATTGTCCTTCTCGCTTTACCAGCGTATATGAGCAATTAGCAAGCTAATCATAAAGATCACTAATTGATAATCACAACTTTAATGACGATCTTTACCCGTCTATATACATTAAACTATGGATACAGTTCTGTTTTTCAATCACACTATTATCGACCTCTTGGATTCCACCTACATGCTTTTCCCCTTCATAGCCGGACAGTCTTTCCAATTCACGAGAGTGACAAATATGTTCCGATTCTGTTTCCTAGTTAATGCACCATTGCAAAATGCTTTTTGTAATAGCTGAATGTTGATTGGCTAGCGGGATCTAGGGTCAGAGCATACCCTCAGGTTGTTACATTCTGATTGGCTGGCGAAAATGTCCAATCTCAGTAGTCCACAAATGAGAAATTGGCTAATACTTGATTCTGTCAGTGAGTGATGCTGAAAGCCAAGTTGCAAGCATGGCGGAGTATCATCGGTTAGTTTCGTAATCGGCTATGGAGATAAATTTATTTTCTAAAACATACCATGGAGTCTATAATTTGGTACATTGATTTCATATTGAATAAGTTATTTTTGCATGTTTTTTATCACTTTTTTACTGTTAGAAATTGAGGTTTGAGCTGTTTCCACCTATATATTGTCGGAACTATTACACTGAAAAATGACTAAATTAAAGGTCTAATGAGTCACTCATGAATGCCTATATTACTCTAGTACGATCCAAATGTATAGAACTCCACGACAACCTCAGTTTCACTTATTGACACGTATTGCAACTCGTTTGCCTATCTTTTTTATAGTTTCTGCACGATTTATATACGTCTTTATGTATACGCATATAAACCAAAACTGATAGGTTCAGGTGCATAACAGTGTTTCTCATGCTTCCAAACGCTGTGGAATTTCGCTTCCATAATGATAATGTTTCAGTTTCAGTTTTTTTCCTCATTCAGCTTTCTCATTTGGAGCGGGATGAATTGCTTGTTTTTGTTTTCGAACACTTCTATTCCATTCTTTTGTCTCGTCATTGACTGCGTTTAAGCCACTTTTATTTTAATCAAATATGACTCCTCAATCTCAGTCCACATCCTTTTATTACTATTTATTGTTTCGTTTGTATTTTACTTAGCACGTATCATTGAGCAATCCCATTTTTAGAAATCATTCTTCTGAACGTCTGTTCCAATATAAAAGTGGATTGGCAGTGAGTGGGAAAAGTGATTAACAAAGTAATGACATGGGTTTTTTTATAATATGGTGACAAGTGAGAATTTGAAAGTCATGGGAGAACGATTGACGATCACAAGCCTACCTGCTAACTGTATTGTACCAGCAGACCACACTACTTCGTCCCATCTGGAATTCAGAAAATTTTCCAGTTTTTGTTCTGCTCTATCTACCGGATGAGGCGCAAGCCATTTACGGACTAAAGTTTCATCACCCTCGTCGATATGATGGCTAAGGTTTTCGCACCTATTTTGCTTATCCCCTTTGCTACCCAACTTAACACGAGAGCACGTCGATAAAGCGCACGTACTTCGGGCTCTCGTAACACAGAGGAGTGGACAGAGATGCGCGATAGGGTGTTCCTCGGCTCGTGTTCTCGCATCTGGAGACAATGCAAGGCCGGATGACGAGCGACGACAGAGAGCGGCGGTAGGGTGACAAAGTGGCCGGGAAACGGGGTGGTGAAGAGCGAATGGGTACATGGGTCCTCCATTAGTCGAGGTTAACGATAAACCTGCAAGGCAAAGCGAATAAAAATCCGTGGACCCATAAGTTCCAGTGAGACTCAGTCACTGAAGATAAATTATTAATGGAGCGGTTGTCAAGCATTACACATCTAAATCAGCATCTTTTTCGCCGGGGGAAATGTTTCAACCAGCGAATCCTCGGATAACAAAATAAATCCAAACATCTGTCTGTTGTGGGCCACTGTCTAATTGACAAATCTTAAGCTCAAAAGACGCTGAAAACAGTTAGGGGACCCAATTAACGATATCACCTTATTGGGTTGGTTGCTTTGTGATCAGGACCCTAAAATCTGATCTTGCTCCTCCAGATGAGTTGGCTACCGTGGCGATAGTTCCTAATACCAGCTATTCGTACTCTCACTTCGATAAAACACCCTGGGGATAGCAAGTAAGACCGCTCTAGCAGTTGTATTAAGATAGTATTTCCTGGATGAGAATTATACACCGCTCACCTTCGAACTTTCATTTTTCAGCTTAAACAAAGATCAACCTTGTACTTGTATGCTGCGATTTTTGTTACAGTCTTTTGGATGTTCATTTGAATTAAGGTATACAGGGAAGAATTAGAATGCTGGGAGAAGTGCCAAAGTAAAGATAGAGATTTCGTTAGACTGAATTCGTGATGCAACTGGTGCACGAGCTACGCTGCTTAAGATACTGATCCATATCACTGTGTTTAGCCATGGATTGCGCCGAGTCCAAACGGTTAGTCTTATGTGACCTACATACTCAACTCCCCTGATCTGGATTTTCCTCAGGTCAGAGTACTGTAAAAGGTGTGTATAGGTCCATTCCTCATTCAGCTTACACATTTTCACTTATCGTGTATACTTTGTGGGCTTGGCAGTGACCAGCGAAGTTCGCTTCACCGTTTGGTGCCCTGAAAACGACTGGCAGTGCCAATGTACAAGATTATGTAGCCAGTTTGAACCGATATCATTCAGATTTGCTTAAACATTCATATTCCTAAATAATCTGAAATAAGCGAAGATCTTCACTTTCCATTTCTTGCTCAGCTGACTTCAGTGATCCTCCCGGGGTACCAATTTCGCCATCTCCAAAACCCGATGGCAAACCAACTCTTCCGTCTGCCCCGAGAGCAGTACAACTGTTTGATGACAAGGAGCGATTGATTGTGAGTTTTATCCCCTAATCCGTCACCACACTAAGTTTCAAATCATACATGGTCATTCATATACATCAACTCTGCCTTTCAGAATAGTGAACTCTTTGTGCGGTTCTACATGTGTGTTTTGTCTTCACCTCGGCTCGCTTCATGTATAAACTTAATTCTCATAAATGGACTCAAGTCTTTCAGTTGCTTTTTCCGTTGAATTTGTTCATCTCTTTCACTTCGATTTTCTTCGGTCAAAGGTAACAAGATTTGCATTTATCAGTTTAGATTGGTAAGTGGACTTACATTTTCAGTTTATTTTACCACACGGATTGCGCAAGGAAACTTGCTCATGAGTCCCCGAGATTTTACTTATCAAATTGATTCCAGTCACACCGTCCAGTGAAACATAAATTAAATTATATTTCTTAGTTTGGATCCGCAACGGTGACTGACAATCCACTTATCTCCCTATCCGTCGCATATTGTCCTCTAATCTGATCAATGATTTGCTTAAATTATGTTGTTTTGGCAGCTCATAGTAGACATTAACCTTATGTTTTTGAGTTTTGGGAAGATCAGTCTCGGTGGGATTCGAACCCACACCTGAACCCCGTCTGCACTTTTGTACGTACGATCTACCGCCTTAGTTACGAGGCCGCACCGACAGCATCAATCTTCGGATTTCGGTTCAGTCACTCAATTTACACCTCATATGGTAGAGCGTGTGGTGTGCCAGGTGTTCGATTCCCATTGAAACTGCTGATGTTTTCATAATGGGTGGTGGTGTTCAAGTGATTGAGGCCATCAAATTAGTGACCCGGAAAACCCGGATTCGAACCGCCCCACCACTGCCCATGCTCCCCAATTCTCTGTTTTCCCAGGCAGCCTTTGTATGGCCGCGACCCCCTTCCTGAAAGTTGACCGTACATTTTTTTACTCTAAATGAAAAGGAAGTAAAAATACATTATTTATTTATTCGTAATTCAAACAAAAACAATGGCTTAAAAACGTATTGGCTACATACTGATGCCGGTAATGAACATTGGTTTTCAAGAAGACATTTTTGTTGATTGGTATCTTTTTAACTCATTAAACGGGGTTTCTATTATTGCGTTGATGTTCGTGTGCTTTGTGATTTGCTCATATAGCTTTGCCTTCCGCATTTCCTAGTTATAAGGAATACGGTTGAAGTTGAGTCATTTTCATTTATGAAACCGTTTGCTTGATTTTCAATGGCGTGGTATTCGTTGGTTTCCGTCTTGCTTCTCGTACGTTAGTGTTACACGGTTTTTCTGTACTTCCTAATCCTCTTATACTCTATCTGGAATCGTGACTCTGATTCGCAAATGTACCATGCCCCTAGTTCAGTGTTATACTAGATCATTTAAGGTCATTTGTCTCTGCCGGTCGACGTTTGCTTTCTTGGTGACCACTACCAGATAATATAAACCTTTTTGGATATCTCCCCGCTAGTTCGTATAATTATTATATTGTATATATATATATACATAGAATGACAATTATTATTTTTGTGAACGTTCACCTATGTGTTCTGTTGTTTTGTGTATTTTCAGTACGAAGATCATGTGGCGTTCTGTGAGGATCTGGGCTGTCCAGTGGACCGGCCAGTCAAGGTGGTGGCTATCGTGGGTAACACAGGCGATGGCAAATCCTACACACTCAATCACGCCTTCTGTGGTGGATCAGAGGTGTTTGAAACTTCACCGTCACAGAATACATGCACGCTGGGGGTTTGGGCAGCCTACTTACCGGGGAAAGATTGCTTGCTATTAGATACCGAAGGTAAGACTGACTCTCAACTAAATCCAATCAGTTCATATCTCGTCTTTAAACGCTTTTCCCACTGAGGGCACTTTAATTAGTCTTAAAAAATTTGGATGACCGATACTCCTAAATCAATAGACCACAGTATCCAGTGACATGACTAATCGCGTATGCATTTGTACAAATCGTAAATTATGCATTAATGATTACATAACTTGATGAATTAGACGCTTCGCTTACACTTCAGTATTCAAGCTCAAGTTGAAAATGACGCTACCATTCCGTCAACGTAATTCATTCACCGATTCGACATACATAGTGTGTGTGGGTCCTTGCCGCCTAGCCCTCCGTTTGCGAAGACCTTGAGCTCGCTAATTCTTTCTTGTTCCTTTGGCTAGATAAACCAATCTAGAAATAAAAATATCTACAACAAACTATACGTTACCTAATAGTTTTTCTATTGTCATTTGTTTAGAACTGGGTAAAAATTATTTCGTCCTACAAATCATTATCAGCTGTTTGGTGCAAACACAACCACTCCCGCACTCATCGACACATCAAACAGAGCTGTTATTTGTCATCGGGGTTCCCTTACTCCGATATGTTGTTTACCTGTGAATTTTTCGAATATGTTCATTGATATTTTACATTCATCACCGCTTATTGATTAATAACGGTGCTAACCTGAACTTAACCAGTGGTTTGATAGTGAAGTTTATCAACACTCGGGTGTTCACGAATCCCCCTCACTATTTATACTGTGGTACACGATTTCCCACTAATTTGCGTCCCATACGTTTTTCGATGAGCTGCACTCGAACCTTGGTCTACCTGTCAGCTCAATATGTGGCTCTTTTGACACCCATCCGGGATTGCTTCTCTATAAAGCTGCCGTNCTATACAAAAATTGTCAGTTTTCCGGTTGAAGTGAACCTCACTGGCTTAAACAAATTGCGCGTTAGGTTAGCCCATATTTTAGCCTATTTGTTTCTCTTGCAGTTTTGTGATTTCCTTAACGACCGTAAACAATTCTGAGGGCATTTTCCATCAATAGGTGATCCACTGTGTCACATAGACTTCGTATGTTCATATAATACTTTGTGCATGCTAGCTAACAAGGCACTCGTGAGCGCACAATCGATTTGACTTGTGCACGTGATTGTGCACACACGTGACCTCGTTCGCGTTACCTGCTTCGATGCACCGGGGCAGTGTTCAAGTATGCGAACACGATATGGGATATTCCACTTGTAGATCGAGGTTTGCGCTTGCGCGTAACAAGCATATGCTTCCACGAATCTAGTACCTGTATATGTATCAGATTACATAAAATGCCTCTATTCGGACCGAGTTAACAAAGCTGATAGGAACGATAACGTAGTTGCACACACCTATGAATTGACTCAATTTTCATATTTTGAAGAACATGTTGTATGTTTAGCGCAAGTTATAAATCCTACGAGCAACTGATATTTGGCTTTTATTATCGAAAGAGTCAAGTTGACGTTTCACTCTGTCACAGCAACTGAATTTTCCCAGCAAATACATAGGTGGACCTGGTTTATACGAGCATACTGAAACAGGATGTTTTACTAGATAAATCACATTATCGCCAATAACTAAGCAAACATCTTCCAGGTTGTAACAGTGGTCACCTACTCGATTGGGCATCAGGTGTACTGTGAACCTTGGCCGTTTGACCTTTTCAGGGGACGCATGATCCGATGAACAGAATACCAGCCCCCAATGGCTTGCTGGCCTGAAAAGCCTTGCAGTATTCCACCGACTAGCAAATCGTTGACCTTTTTCTTTGCCATGAGGATTTATTTACAGTAATTTGTTTAGCACACAATCGGTACTCAGACGTGTATGAAGTGTAATAGTAATAAAATACACAATACTACTTACTATCTAACTCAAACTATAACGTACATCTCATTAAAGAGTTTTTCATTCAAAATCATTTTGACATATATATATATATATATATATATATATATATGTATTGCAATAAGTTGTATATGAATGACTGGACAGAATTTCCCTGGAAGCACACAACCGGTTTCGCGGTTCACGCCGCTCGTGAGTCATGTGTATCCAGTAGTCTTTTGTCGTTCCATTCATATACTTGTTCCCAGGAAATGTATTTTCATCACAATAACGTCAGTTGCAACACCGGGTAAATTTGTTTGAGTAGCTCTTTCAGGATCAGTCCATGGATGAATCAATACTATAATTCAATGATTTGTAGGTGTGTTAGATGCTACTAACCGCAACAATCGCGACTAAAGCGTCTTTATTGAATGTTCTACAATAAGTGGCATGTGAATGACTGGACAAAATTTGTCTGTATTCGAAACATATGTATGGAAATATTTTCGATTTATTCTGTCTGTAAGAGGTCGCATTAGAATAGGAAATTTTGTGACTTGTTCCCAGAATTAGGTGGAATAAGAAATGCGAGCGTTTCGTACAAAAAAACGAAGAACACTTCCAGTTAAGCTTTTAATGGTATAATAAAGCCCTGCAACATGTCTACTTATCCAATGAAATGCATCAACCCACTGTTATCATTTGCATTCATTTTCTATAGGTCTATTAGGCACGAACGCGAATCATAATATGCATCGTCGTTTGCTGCTCAAGGTGTTTGCGATCGCGGATGTTGTGATTTATCTCACTAAGGCCGCCCGACTGTACAGCGACATGTTCTCGATTTTGGCGGATGCCAGTGATGCCTTTGCCCAGCATTTCCGTCCAGATTTGGAAGCACTGGCTCATCGAACTGGGTTACCCTGGTCCGTTGGCCAGCTTGGACCTGCTGTGGTTGTATTCCAAGAAACTTTACATACACATCCATTGGATGGATTCCAAGCAGGCCTTTCCGAGAGTGTTGGTCAGTCCAATGCTGACTCTGCTGCCTTTCCTATCTTCACCCAAGCAACAATGACCACAAACCAATCGCAAGAGTCACAACGATTACACTCTGGTAAGCTTTAGCGCCACTTCATTTTCCTATTTCGGAGATATATAACTGAAAAGCTAGGGAGCACTGTATGGCCGTTTCTTCCTAGTTGAGTCTTTTCAGCAATGCTAACCTATGGACCTGACTGGGGATTCCGAACTCTTGATCAGACAAGTTGAACGCAAGCGTACTATCTTTTCGATCATCAGTCAGCTAATCAAACCATTTCACTTAATCTGTACTCGATACCCACCTTACAAGTTTGTTACGGAAGTTTAACCTCGCTCACCTTCACAGTAGCGTCGATGTTTATGATTTGGCTGGAAGCATTTTGAATATCACTACTTGTTACGAGGGAGAAGTGGAGTAGTCGGGTTGTGGTGATGGTGGTGGTAGCAGGCTTAGGATTTCACAAAAATTTTCATTAACTATGATCGATGAATTTACTTTTCCTATTAGTTGTAAGCAGCTCAGTCTTACTTGGTAGTTGGTGGACACCATATGAATGAACAAACCATGGACCAGTTTCTTTGTCATAAAGATTATTATACTTTGATTTGACTCGAACGATCGTGAAGTATAATAATAATAAGTATAATCACGACGAGACTGCACTTTGACGTGGTGTGATGGCATGTGCACCTCTATGACCCAATGAGCTACACAGGATAGCTTTTACCGGGCCAAAGATCTAATCATGCCTGGAAGGTCAATGGGTAGAGGTCAGACGAAGTCCAGTCTCCTGGTCCTCCAGGTTGGGGGTTCGACTTGAGTCGGCTTCTCAGTCAATATAACGTGTTGGAGGNGAATAATTCATCCAAGCTAATGGGCCTCCAATCCGCCTTAACCGCTGCCTTTCGGTTAGGTTTTTGTCAAAACCAAAGGCTTTGGTTGAGAACCCTAATCGTTCTCCTGCTTAGTGGCTAGACACTCTAGCAGTACCCGTCCACCAAACCCCAATGCATACACAAAATAAAAATAA